TTATACATTATGTATATAATATATATATGTATTTATATATACTGTATATAATATATATATATATATATATATGTATTTATGTATATATGTGTATATATAATGTATATATAGGGTGTGTTTCTACTGATAAACACAAAATAACCGATTTTTTAAAACGTTTTTTTTTAATGAGTACCAGACAGCCTGCTGGTGTTGCAACTGCATTTTTGATTTTTCGAAAATCTGTTTTCGTGATGGAAATTACGTCACCACTTTGTTTATACAACACGTTGTTTTCCTAACTGTATAGGATAGTATCTTTCTCATTCCTGTCACGATGACAAGGAGTAAGATACGATGGGCGAGAAGGCAAATGTTTTTGGCTCTGCTCATCAGAACAATTATGAACGACGACCAAGCAACGGTAGGCCCAAAAGAGCGGAGAATCCTGGGCCCAATATCCACCCCCCACCCCCACAAAATAATTACAAAACGAATTGTTACTCCTTATGTTTGTTGACATTTTTAGCTTGTAGGCCTAGGAAATGAACAAGAGGAAAAATTTTTTTTGAAAGTTGCAGTGATTGACCTGGAGGTCACATTTCACCTGATAATCGCATTTTTTTGTATTGCAGCTAAAAGGTGCACAGCCAAAATAGGTTATTTGCCGTTCAAACACGCTATCCATTGCGTGTTTTTAATTGATTTTTTTTAATCGCTTTTTTCAAACTGGTCCCGTTTCTACTGCGAGAATAAAAACGATTTTTCGAAAAAGCGATTTTTAATCGATTATTTCTTTCCACTAGAAACAGGCCCATAGATAGATGTTTACAAATATAATGCAATTATAAACATTACATGTTATTTTTTTTAACGTTGCACTGAACTGGCACAAGGTCTATCCATTACTGGGCTATCCATCTACTGGTATTTCAATGGTTGGAATGGAATGTAATCCATTGAAAATGAAAGGCACTTTAATCATGAACTATGACAGTCTCATCAGTCAATAAGTACACAAACGTTATCTTATAATCTTCATCGTACCATATGGACAACGGCGTCTACCAGTCTAGGTGACGATGACAATAGCCATGGTAAATCGCTAAAAAATGAAATCGACTCGCCCACATTAAATACGACTGTCGGCCTACATTTTATGTGATTAATATCTGATCTAACATATTACGTACCTTGGTCTATGTTGTTGGCCTAGGATAAACAAGTGTAGAGTACGAAAAGCTACAAATGCATATGTAAGGAAGTTAATCCTCCAAGAACAATGCTGAAAAGCTACCGTCTTGATGGAAAAAATTAATATCAATATGATTTTCAAATGTAAATGTTAACTGAATCCTTTTATATTTTTGACTATGTTCTCCTCATTGTTGTCTAGCTTTTCAGTGTGGAGAGCCACTTTGACTGTTGTTTTTTTATAACATTTTGGCAATCCTGCCTCGCAGATTTACTACTTGTGTTTTTGTATCGTATGTTATGTTAAGGCAAAATAAATGATATGATGATATAATAATGAGTATACATCGAGTTGAGACAGTGATAGTGATTCTAGGGAGGGGTATTATAGTTGGCATTTGAAAGAGAGTTAAGCCATTAACTTTAGTTTCATGAAAAGTGTATCTTTCTACAATTAATTATAATGTTGTATTTGGAAAAACATTTTGCAGAAATACGTACATACACAGACAAAACAGGAAGTGAATTTATAATTGATCAATAATATACAATACTAATGTTTAATATAACAGTTACCTGCTTGATGCTCTTGCTTTGCAAGACAGTTATCAGGGCTGGTTCTCTGACAGTGTTAGTGTGACCCAGGCCTAATTGGCCCTCAGCATTGGATCCCCAAGCCCACACATCACCGGTACTAGTCAGGGCTAAGGAGTGTTCAGAGCCAACAGCAACATCCTCAATGAAGTAGCCAGCTAATGCTGTTACAGGCTGGGGTCGGTTTGTAGGACGTATTCGGCTATCTGGGATCCCAAGTAGACGATCTTTTAATGAATGGAAAAAGATTGATTATACAAGACTGTATTTTCTAATCTCACTCAATTAATTGGCTATTTATATGGCCACATGCCTAACCCTGAGTAAGATATTTGTGGTTCCAGTAACTAAAATTATAGCAGAATGAGAGGAAATAATTTTATATTATCATTATCATGGAAACTGATACCATAAAATACACAAATCAATTGTGAATTGATAGTAACACACATTTGAATAAAATATAACAGTCCGTCTCATGTGCCACTTAAAAACCATCTGCAAAACAATAGTCCTCATTCCTTTTCAACTTTCCTTGAATTAAGACATCTTTTTCGGTTTATCCAGATAAGTATTCACAAAAAAAGACAACTTCATTCCACTTTTTCAGCCTACCATATGTAATGTAAACTGACCTTGTCCAAAGGAGAGAACTCTTCCATCTCTGGTAAGAACCAATGAGAACTGCGTCCCGCAACACACCTTCTTCACACCCACATTGTTTAGACTTTCGATTTTCTGGCAAAAAAAAAAGAAAAAAAAAAAAGAAGAAAATAATAATATGATGAATAATTCACAGCATGAGAGAAAGTGTTTATGTATTTTTCAATTTGAAGTAGTCAATTATGTAGTTCAAGATTTTAACTTTGATGTCAGTGGTTTCGAGTCAGGGTTTGGGATTCAATTTCAAACACTGTTTCATGATCCAACGTATGTTGTGCTTAGCGCATGCGTACACCATTATTCTAGCCTAGATCATGTGAGGAAACCTCTCTCGTAATATAAACATACTAGGCATGTAAGAATAGACGTAAAAAAATAACAAAAATAATGATGGAACTAGATTTGAACTCGTCACTGAGGACAAGTTAGGTGATCCGCCGCACTTTCACCCTCGAGGAAGTGTGCGCGGTGCTGAATGAACAATATTTAAATGCTGAAAATGGCTTAAATATACGCTATTTCAGCTTTAAAAAAAAAAGAATTTGGAACACTTTAAAAGATATACTCATGCGTACGCGCACGTCATGACACACGTCACAGAATGTTGTCTTCTGATATGAGATATATATGTATCAACTTTCATTGACAAACGCATGCTAGTGAGGGAGTAATTATCATTCATAATATTTATCATATATAATTTTAAAAAAAAAATTCTTAATATGATTCAGAAATGACGAATGCTTAAGATGATATGGGCTCATCAAAGTTTTGAGGAAAGAAAGATGTGGAGGTCAGAAAAAACTATTTTTTTGACCATGACGACATCATCAAAATGTAAAAAGAAGTCAAACATATGAAACAGAATTGTCTAAGTTATAACATACTCAAAGTTGGAAGACGATCGATCAAGGATAAGCGAGATACGCTCAAATGCGTTTTTTCAAAAATGACGTTATAGCTAAAATACACTTTCTTTGAATTCAGATGCCAATATGATGACGTCACAATGTCCGATCAGCCATTATGATATATAAAATCATATTTACAACTTATGTGCTTTCAGAATATGTAATAAAAATTGGGGGTCACCTTTCATCCTAAGGAGCTATAACTGATTGAAAATAGGCAGGACTATTTGAACATGAAACAATTTAACGCACGCATATGCAATGATGCGCGCACGAAAAATGTGCGGGCATTAAATTTATCCTTGACCTGAAATTTATGCCAATTGAATATGATTTAGAAATGTCAAATATTTATGATGATACAGGCGGTTTCAATGATTTGAGGAAAGAAAGATGAGGGGTCAGATAAAAAAAATTATGTAAAATATGATGACGTCATCAAAATGTAAACAGACTTGACATTTACGAAAGAGATTTGTCTGGGTTATAACATACTCGTTTGTTTGGAGAAAATCGATCAAGGATAAGCAAGATACGCTCAAATGCGTATTTTAACAAATGACGTCATAGTTAAACCAGACCTCTGCGAGGGCCAAGGTTCCTGTGCAGGCATTCGTAAAATATTGCACTACTGTATTTTCGATGATGTAGACATGGCAACTAACGAGGGAGTGCTTGTGTTAATGTGAATAGCTTCCCATCAGCTGTTACAACTGTTTTGTGTTTAAACCCACAGGCCATCTGAGATAGAAACCAGTTTATATTTATACACTAGCCTTTACACAGCCATACGCAACGCATCTTCTTTGACATCTTCCTGTGGGCATATTTTAACTAGTGTTTTTGCTACAAAAATAGCTTGATACCCCTGTTCAGTTAGAAATTTATGAAGTTAATTTTGTACTTTAAAAAAAAAAAAAAAATTATTTTCTTTAACTGTACTAATAAACACTTCTACAAGAAAGTCAAACTTCAGCAAGAAAAAGAAAAATATTCACATGTACACTACATACATATAATTAATAGGCTAGGCCTAGGCATACACCATTAATTAACTGAATTATAGTAATAAAAACTCTAACGTACTTTATAAAAATATATATAGCTTAGTAGGCCTATTAGTAAAAAATATACAGGCATTGGCCCTTTTTAATATTTTAATTGATAGTATATAGTCTATAGAAAGGCATAGGCCTAAGCCTAGGCTACCCCATCTAGCGTGAACCGCTTTAAAAAACATCGAAAATGATAGACCTAAAACATTAACATTAACTTAAGTAAAGTTATTAAATAAACATTACAATCCTAAAATAAGAACTAGATTTGAACTCGTCACTGAGGACGAATTCGGTGATCCGCCATACTTTGACCCTCAGAAAGAGCGCGCGGTGCTGATTGAAAAGTTTCATAATATGCTAACATATGCTGTAATTAGTTTTTAAAAAATTTTGAGCATTTTGAAAGACTTACGCATGCGTACACGCACGTCTTGACGCCCGTGAGCACGGTAATGTCACAAAGAGTGACTCCTGACTGTCAGGAACACAAAATATGTAACAAAGCGTAATTTCTAGCTTTAGTATGTGCTGTGTGCGTGGAAATGAAGGTACGGCGGGTAAATTATGGAAAGTTTTGAAATGCCAAAAATGACCCGAAACGTTCTTTAAACTATCTGAATAGTAATATGGAGAATTTTCAAATTTTAACAGACACGCACGTCACCATGTGTGCGTGTACAGTAATAGCACACGAAATTAAACCGCCTGTTAGTCGGTAATGCCATACAAACTTTCCCGTCATTTAACCTATATATATTTGTCTGATAGCGTCGAAATACAGTCTGCCGCCCTCACTCTGTTCTATTTGTGTACATCATTTAAGAATGAGGGATAAAAGGGCTCCAAAAATTCATTCTTTTTGACCATGTTGACGTAATCAAAATGAAAAATAAAGGGACACGTCTTCAAGAGAATTGATTTAGCTATAACATACTCACAGGTGGGACACAATCAATCAAGAATAAGCGAGATACGTTCAAACGAATA